ACTCAGATTCAATCAGTGACATATATAGGATCAGAGAGTCATGGCAATATCACACATGTATTTAAGCTGCAACCTATTTCACATTTTAAGGACTTACAAAAACAACATGCTAGCTGTCATTTTGTGAAAAACATTACATGAAGTCTGTTACATTTCATACCCTTTCAGGTGGTGATTCCTGTTTGCTTTCTCAAAGAGGGGGAAAGTAATTCTCCTAGCACAGGTTTGTTCTTGGTATCTGATAAATTACTTTCAAGAAGTTGTCCAAGACATTGTAGGGCTTTTACAGCAAGGTTTCCTGGGCTTACTTCTTCACACCACTACATAATGCACACTGTTATTATGAACTAAACAGCCCAAGTGCCATTCTGGTGAGAACTGTCAGAGATACAAGTCACAACAGATCTTTTGGTGTCCTGTTCTAGTTGCTGCCCATCTTGAACATACAGGAAGGGTGTAAGACAAGAAACGGGAGGAAGAAGGATTTTATACATTACAGTGGAAAACAGCAGAGAAGAAAAAAAGATCCCAACACTCAAGATATCCCTTGGATTTGGCTGAAGGATTCTGTAGCTGCTCTCCCTAGCCCATTCTGTTCTGAGTTCACGTGAAAATAATATCCAACCACTGCATTTTATCTTCATGGAATCAGTGACTAACAAGTTTAGAAAATGGAAACAAGCTCATGCTCTCTAAATAGAGCTGAAATACAGCGTAGGTGGGGTATACATAAAATTAACTGAGCTTCCCCAAATACAAGCCCAGAGGATGCTGAACTAAGTAACTGACTGTTTATTTTGTGCATGCATGTGCAGCTTGTGTTAAAGATGAAAGACCAGATAAGACCAGACGAAAGACCACCTGGAGGACCAAAGGCAAACTTCCAATGCCAGTGCAGCCACAGCAAGGTCCACCACTGCACCACCTAAATTCCACAAAGCCAGAGGCACCAGTGAAAAGAACTACAGCAATGCACCCACCTGCCACCCTTCCTATAGCTAACTCCTGAAGTCACAGCTCCACAAGAAGACTTTAGTTTATCATAGATTTATGGTCTTCATTTGTTTAATCTGCTGCAGAGTCAAGATGACAAGCTGTGTTTGGAATCACTCTGTTTTTTCATTTGAGGAATAAACTTTTCTGTCATTTTTTGGTTCACTGAAGATTTCTAAGATTTTTATTACTGTATGACTTGAGTTGAAAGTTAGAAGTGCAGGTAAGATTGCAGTTCCCCTAAGCTGAGATATCTTTTTGGTTAAATCTGTCATTCCTGTTCATTTTGTTTCACTGGTATAGTATCTGTGGCCATCTCCCTCAGATCTACTCACACCTCAGAGATGGAGGTCTCCTCCTTGCAAATACGGCCAGCATTTGTTGTTGGCTCTTTAGATCATCTTGTCTGTCTCTATGTTCCTTGCTTATCACTGATCCTTCATCCTGGGATCATGACCTGACAGGATTTTCCAGGCTAGCTGAGAAATTATCACACACTTTAAAAATGCATTTGCACCGAGATGAAAAATTGTTTCTTATTCCATTGAAATTGCATTGAATTAAAACTGAAATTTGACTCATGGATGGGGACTTTGCTACACATGGAAGGAGACAGATCTGTTAAGATCAGAAGAGAAATGATATTGTCTCCAGCTTGAGCCTCCCATCTTGAATTGAGACCTCAACTCGAATTTTTGCTATGCCATCTGTTACCTGAGGCAAGTCACTCACACCGCCTTGCTATAAAATTAATATGATTCTTTGCTAATTCCTATGCCTTGAGAGACCTGAGGGCATAATAGGCTTTGAAGTTTGTGGACACGTGTACCTCAGAGTTAACAAAAACGTCCCCACCAAGATAAAGCTTCTTTCTCCACCTTTACAAGATGTTTCTGTGTCAACAGTGCACTGTATATTTTAGTGTTGTTTGCTGTGCCTTTCCTTAACACAGTTGTCCTTTCTCATACACGAATGTGACAGACTTTATTTAACAACTGTAAAACCAATTTACATTATACGTAGCATTGTCAGTTTAAGGTCAAAAAGAATTTATTTATACCTTTGTGTTTACTTATGATCTGTGAGCTGATATGCCTCACTCTTCCTCTTGTTTTCCCCTTTCCAGCAGTGGTAATAGTCAACCTATTGGTTTTAATGACTGGATACACAAACTGCTATAAGGGGTTCTGCACTTACTCTCTCCCAAAGAAAACTGATCCCTCTCAAGAATGTGAGAGTAGTACTGACATGCTGGGTTAAGAAACAAGGTTCTTGGACTGCTTTCATTTTTACTGTATCTCTTCTAGCTTTCAGTTGTTCATAGATAATAGCTGGTTTACTGGGCTGTTTTAATAACATTACTGCTCTGAAATCATGCTGTATTTCTCTCCGTCGATTGCCTAGCACTGAAAGATACAGGAAAACAGGTTGATCACCTTGCATTACTCTGATTATCTCTGTGGTCATTAGTGAGATGTAACCAGAAACTCCAGCTGAAGAATGACTAAATAAAAGAGCAAGGTAAATCTTCAAGAAAGTCTCCAGGAGTTTTCCCTGCCTTAGGAAGGAAGAGAACACTCTGTCCATCAGCCTAAGCAGAAAGAGGACATAGAAGTGGGCAGAGCGCTGATATTCTTAGAATGATTTAGTAAGTAATTATCTGGTTGGGAAGCCAACCAGATTTTAACAGAGCAACACCTGTTAGAGATACCAGTTCCCCACACAAACAAGACACCCATCAGCCCTGTACATGAACAACATGAAAACATGCAATATTATGTGGGTCACAAACGATCTCAATAATCAATACATGCAATAGACTATCTACATTGAGTTTGCTGCTATGAGTGGTTTCAGCACAGCATGTTGTTAGGTTTCCTCTGAATTCACAGATCATGCAAAGAGTTTTTTCATTGTCCCTAAACAGTGCCCAGGCTTAGACAGGTCATTCCCTGCTGTGTTCCAAAGAAAGCTGCTTGAAAGAACTTCTCTCCATACACGGCATAGCTTGCACATAGAAAACACAGGGGGTCCTGCAATGGGAACAGCTGGGCAGTCACTGCTTGTCTGAAAGCTGAGAAAGAAAACATGTACAGTGGCTGGATTTTTGGTTTTTTTGGAGTTGAGCAACAAATGCATCCTCTACCACTTAACACCAAACCAGCAAGTTGACTGTATTTTGGCTGTAACAAATTCCACAAGTTTCACTCCAGTACACCAGCATCACTATGTGACTGGTGATTTTTGTTCACGCGCTGCAGGGTGCTGCAGGGTGCCTGTCAAGCAAAATGCTGCATGCAAAGGCCAAAATGTGAGAAGAAAAAAAAGTTAAATAGTTCAGTAGTATTAACAGAATAAAGGCAGTGCAATTTGCTGGTCCTTTTGTTTCAAAATGTCCTGGAACATTTGCTCCAGATTACCTTTGAGGATGTGGAGGAGCCAATACCTTGAACAGGATTCTGTGGTACTTCCCACAGTATTGTCAGCCAAGGTGAAATAGTTAATTTTAGCACATAAAGGTTAGAAAGAGCTGGCACACAAAGCTAGGGCACATCCTCGGGCATCCCAAGATGTAAATCAATTAGATCAGGCAGCATAGGAGCAGAACATGAGAAGGGAGACTATGAATTCTCCCTGTCTTCACTGCAACCAGCCAAGGCAGCTTTGTCCTGGGATCAGGGTGTAATACTTTGCTATCCTACTGCGACTTTCCCCCCTCTTTTAACTGGAAAATACACATGGTCTGAATCACTGATAGTGAAACAAACCACAACGATGCTGTTAAATTGGCTTCATACATATCTGTGAGAGATCCAAAGTGGATATGGGGGCTCTGTTGATTTCAGTAAAGAAATACCTAGTGCCTGCACTCATGGGCTGACATGTTCTGTTGGTTTACCAGTGACTAGGAGTCAAGAGCATGAGCCATATGGTTGTGCCCATTTCAGGGCAGGGCATACATCAGCATTGCCAAATCTAATTCACTAGTGAGAGGCTGATTGTGGGCAGCTTTATCAAACCTCTAAGCGCTTAATCTCTTTTCTGCATCGCAAAGAATGATCTAGTAACTGAAGAAAAACCAATCTATCCAACCTACTGAGTTGAAAGCCAGCTAATATGTCCCTGTGGGTAGTGGTCTCACCGTGACCTACATTGTCATAATGCTGGTTTTCTCATATGGACTTCCTGAGCTAGTTCTCAACTCTGGAGTTTGGGTGGAAGATGTGGAGTAGCCAACCCAAATTGGAGTTTAACCTCTACTCCCAAACCCACACAACAAGTCAACACAATTAGGCAGTCAGAGTAGTTATTTCAGACATTGCAACCTGTACAGCTCTGGTAATAAGGGAAAGATTTCATCACCAAGAAGGGCTACATAGTTTGAAATATTTGAACCAAAGCAAAAGGGAACCGTACTTGACTCCTTTGCTATCAAATTGATGTCCTAAGCACTTGGAGAGTGTGTCTGTCCCTGACACATCCAGACTCTATGGAAGAAAGAGTATTTCTTCCTGCCTACAAGGATTAAGACAGAAAATCTACAATGCTTATTTTTTCATAGAAGATCTGAACATATGGATCTTCTACATGATCGAACACTGAACAAGGAAGAAAACGGTTACCCAGGACCCACTTTTTAAAACCTAGATGGCTCAAACTATGCATGCAAATTTTGTTGTGAGTGACAACTACTATGTCTCTAATGGGTTTCTCAGGGCAAGAGCTAAATATTCCTTCCAAGCTTGAAATTCCTTTCAACGTAGTTCCTATAACTGCTTTCCAGATCTGGTGTGGCACAAAAGGCACACCTATTTCTTCAATGCCTGTTAGAACAAACCTTCCTGTATGTAACTGCCTTATGTTAATAACGTCCTCCCCATGAGGTCATTTTACAGAAACATCATTGTTGTTAGACTTTCATGGTCAGTTTGCTCAAGGACTGTTATCACAAATTCCCTCTCTATATAAGTTCACTGAGAACATGAGCTTCCTACTGGCCATCTCCTTACTGGAAGCCTCGTACTTCTGCAAGAATGGTGAGTCCTTACATCTTATGCTGTAAAAGGCTATGGTATGTTGCTATAGATTTTAAAGGAGTTTCTGTTGAATTTATCTCAGTACTTGGTGATCTAAGCAACCTGGAGAATGTATAAATTCTGTGTTATGAGAGCAAGCATAAGACAGAGAGGCATAGGCAGGTAAGAACCTTGCATAAAACATATCAGCATGTAAATGGCAGGAGATGTAACAGGACTCCAGCTAAGGCTTTATTATAACTTCTTTTCACCCTTCATGTAATCTTTGGAGCTAATCTCTTTCTGGCAGAAAGCAGCTCTGTTGTCTCTCAACCTAGAATTGGCCTTCATTTTTGTGAAAAGTCTGGATAACATCTGAATATTTAGTTAAACTCAGAAGTGTTATCTTCAGTTTTACTCCTTTGCTACTCTGTTGCAATTTTGTAAGTTTTAATCTCTTCTGTGAGACAAAATGCTAGGTTTTCCTCCTCTCATCTCTCAGAGACAACTTCTTTTAATAAGTCGCCAGTTCTGTCTGAAACAGACACATGTACATATGTGTGTGTATGTGATTGTTTATTCCTGGTCTACTTTTCCTCTGTAACCAAGATTTTATATTAATCACAACTAATTACATCCCAGAATTCTTGCACTTATTTCCTTTATATCCCCAATGGAAGCCCTCCAAACATTTCAAACTAACATTGAAGGATAAGCCACTAGCTGAGGAACTTCATTTGAACTTTCAGAAAAAAATGGTGACAAATGTCACAGCATATAGAATTATTTAGGTTGCAGGAGGACACCTGCAACTCATTTGGTCGAACCTCCTGTCTAAAGTAGGGCCAAGTCTTGAGTATTCAACTTCAGCTAACTTGTTCCTAATCCTTCAATATTAAGGTGAAACATTTGGTAGTTCTTTAGACTCCAGTGAAAAAGGTTTTGCAACTATGAGTGAGATTAGTGAAAGAAACAATCAGTGACCTATCCTACGGAATAAAAAGGGACAAGAAAAATTAATGGGAAGGGGAAAGGAATAGAACATGTTTTTTTCACAAACAGTATCTGGATCTATCAGTCCTGTTATCAGGCAATGCTTGATTTTAACAGCTTGAAAAGACAGATTTTTTTTTTCCCCCCCTTCCATATGATGCCCAGCCTCTGCTTCTTCTAAATGGTTCAGTATTCCTGATTGTGTGTTAAAGTGTTTAAACTGCAAAGGACAATTGGATTTTTGATTTGAAACCACAATGTATTTCCCTGTTTCGAATGGTAGTATTTATCATCAAGACATCTTAATAGTTACTTATGTATTCATATGAATTGTGTTTTCTTGTCCAGAAGACCATCTTGCCCTGCCTTCTTGTTCTCGCCATTACTGTGTCACTGTCTGATGCTTCTTGCTTCCGTATGGAATGCAAGCCAGGGATGTCTGACGGTGTGACTGTAGGTAAGATGGTAACAGCTGTCAACTTGACAGACATCATCAGAATCACTGCCTGATTTGATTTGTCCCTTCTGTGCAATTTATCACCACTTAGAAATAAGTGGAAACAGTGGAAAGAAATCAATGGAAATGGGAGGGAAACGGGATATGGTAAGAGCAGAATTTATAATATATTATAAAAAGGAGAAGCTATTTAGGGAGAATCACACGGACCAAATTACAAATTAATTTTGTCCAGGGAAGTAGCATGGGCTGCATTAACTAATGCTGCCAAGAACCACTGGAAACAGGGACACAGCACTCTCTTCTCCCTGTATTACAAAAGCACATCCTGCTCTGATGGGGAACCTCCATGTTTTGCAGATGGGGAGGTTCATGTAAAAAGCCAGCAAAGGTCCCACCCATTGTGTACAAGCAGCACTGTTGTTGGTGCAAGGGTCTGACACTGAAGGCTGCTCACACACTCTGTTTTCAGGCTGCCTTGACTCAGAAGGAAAGCTGCATGAATTTGGTTCCCAATGGAGGACAGACAACTGCTATGATTGCTCCTCTTCCAGGGGAGGAATTCGCTGCTGCTCTAGGTGAGTGCAGAGTAGCAGTGGGGGTTTTTCTCTGCTGCCATGATACAGCACAAACCACTCCCCTTCACACAGGGGTTCCTGAGAAATGACCATGACCCTTCTCTCACTCACTTCATATCACAGACTTATGCATTCATGTAACACCATCATCACTAAACATGCAAAAAGTTCCTTTGAAAAATATAGGTCAAGTTTTAACAAAAGATTCTTGATTTAAAATAAAAATTGAATTTCATCCTTCTTGGGGTGAAAACTTCAGGCAAGTTACTGATTCAAGAAGGAACACATAGTTCCTTAAGAAATTCCTCTTATTCCTAGTCCAGAGCTTTCCAAAGCCACACATTGTCCCACTTTCCCCTGCGAAGCAGCTCAAAATAGGCATTGGCCTGTCTGTAACTTTTCCTACAGGGACACCCAACCACTCATATAATTCTTGTTCCATATTTTGGTTGAAGAGGAAAAGCAGTGATATGGGAATAGCAAGGAAACACAACAAACATCTCTTAGGTGTAAATCAGATCAGTGAACTACATCTGTGCCCTCATTCTGCTTAAGCAGCAGACTAACATTTGAGCTGGGAGCTTTCTGCAAGTTCTCTTTTCTGCTCCCGAACATCTCCTCAGTATAGCTTCTTCATATTAAAAGTGTAGATACCATCTGAGGTGGAAGCTGTTTACTCCTTGTTCTCATCACCTTTTTTTCTCTTCTCAATGACAGCTATGCAACACCAGTTGACTACGATAAAGAAAAGTGTGAAAGCATTTTCAACAAGGAGACCTGTTCTTATAAAGTAGTGGAGAAAGATGATGACTCAAAAGAATGCCCAGTTCATGCATGGGTGGGGTAGCAGAGAAGAATGGTGGACTGGGGGGATATTTCCTTTTACTGTTTTAAGGGTTCTCTTTCACAAATTCAAGAACACTTAAAAATGCAGTTGTTGAGTGAAATCTACTCATAAAACCCAACACAAAATAAAACTGAATATCTACTCCCCAAAAAAATCCCTTGGTTTCTCTGCCTTCTGCTTCACCATGAAGAACTGACCTGTTCCTCCCTTGAGATCAGACATAAAAGCTGACATTTAAAGTATCCTTAGTAGCTGCTAATCTTTATTCTTCTCTGGCCATTCTTCAGTGCCAGGGAGTATATTCTGTAATCTGTGCACAGCTGTATCTTAAAGCTAAAATAAAATCAGATGAAGCATCAGAAAGTCATGTGACATTTTCCTCTTTGAGCACGAAAACCAAAAGAATTAATATTCCAAAAAACATGGGGAAAAAAAAAATGAAGAGCTACTCAAAAATCTTTCTGAACAGTCTGTTTTTTATGAAAATGCCTGACATGATTAACTTTTATCCTATATGGCTCCCTGGAGACCAACTTATTGACTGCAAATCTACCAGCTACCCAATCTAACCCAGCACCCAGTAATCCATTACACTGACAGCAGAGCAGGGCCAGTCCTCAGCCTGAGGTCTGGGTAAAAGAAAAGGTCCTTTATGCAGATTAACCCCTAGGAAATTAAAGTTTTTAAATTGGCCAATGGGCAGCATTGTAGTTGGTGGAGTGACTCATCTGGGCTGGACTCAGACGGGGAAGAAGCTCAGTAATTCCATAAACAGTAACTGAGAGGGATATGCTTGCCAGCATAAGCTCTCCTTTGGGGTGTTGCTTCATAATCTTTATGGTACATTTATTCAATTGCCTCTTTCCAAAAGTGACCACGAGCATCCTATGTCTCCATGTTCTATTTCTCCGTAACAGACAGAGTCTGTCAATGCTTCCATAGCTCCTCCTTTCAAGTTATGGAACGAGCATATACCTCATCAGTAGTGGCAAGTCCTGCTGTCTGCAGGAGAAAGGCAAACCTCAGCTTGTATCAGCCTTAACTCATGTGCTCCAGTGAGCGATACAGGGATTACACTCCAGTGTTTTATTTCACTTCTACTTTCCTTTCTCCTTTCCTAACCCTGTCTTTCCTACACTGTCTTTTATTTCCCTGCCACATGCCCTCTTGTAAGAGGACCTGCAGTAATGAACTTTATATAATACTGCACTTTTACTTTATTCAGAAGCTGCTAATATCACTGTGCAGATAGACTAAGGGTGTCACAAAGCCCATAGGTTACACAAAGAGCAGTGACAATTACATCTACTGAGAAAAAGGTAAGCGGGTTCCTGCATGATTCGAGCTGCATCTGTTCCACTTTCTCCTTCCTTGGCTATACAAAATGCACAACACTGGTTGAGGTTTTGTGCTCCCCATCAGATGTCAACAGGCTGCCCAGAGCATGTGCAAGATTGGATTATAACTGAACCAATGTTCCTGTGAGGCCCCGGAAGATGCTAGATGTTCAGAGCATAACAATCAAAATAATCATTTGAGAACAAGAGATACCTCTTCCCTCATTATCTTTAGGCAGTGGGATTGCGATCAAGTACTTACCAGAGCTAGTTTGACAATCTGTCTGTTACAATACTCATTTATTTTGTAGTTTACCTCCAAACTCACCTGATACTGACGTATTAGTTTTTTCTAACATCTACCCATATCTGGAAGCTACTGGGACCTGCTTATGGTATATTTATGCAGACAGTCAATTATAGTGCAATGTGGAAAAAGCTTTGTAACCAAATATTTAGGCATATGATTAGTTTCTGTCTTGATCAGATGTCCCTTAATGGTAAGAAACTATTTTATAGAACTAGTCAAAAAATAAGATCCAGAGTTCATAATTCTATTTAGGAAGAACACAAGCTAGAGAACACAGAGACTAAGAATATAGCAGTAACCAAGCAAGGTACTTTGATGACATTTCTGAAGGCAGTCTTATAAGTTTTCTCAGTATTTGCAGAGACATTAATAATTATGGTTTCTGTGTACAAGAGATCAAGTTCCATGCAGTCTTCCAAAAGAGGAGGTGATTTTTCTCCTCCTCTCCTTAGTTAATTCTTTTCTGCATCATTAAAGTCTGATAATTTCTTTTTCTCCAGTTATTCTGAGGGCATCAGTCTTTTTCATTCTGCTGTGGATCATGATCTGATCTCTGAATCAGAATGAAATCCACTGAAATTCATTTTTTATGCTGAGCTTTTTGCTGCATGCTTAAGTTTGGTGGTTTGAGTACTCTCAAATAGAGTAGAAGCAGACGAGGTATCCTCTTATGTACTGTCTGGAAATTGTCCAAAGGCTGGAAGCATTACAAATCCTGACTTATTTCAGATGCACTCTACCCAAGCATTAAGGCCATGAGAGAAAGTTTAAAATCCAGGCCATTATTCTATCTTGTATCTTACACGTGCCATCTCTGTGCAGACAGGTTTCATGTTCTCAGACATCAATCTTCCTGTTTACAGCAGCTAAAACATTCAGATTCACAACCTGTCCTAATATCCAACGAAAGAGAGCAAAAATGATTTGTCTACCAAGAGGAAATGGCATTTCTGAGGCCACTCTAATTTTCTATAGCGGAATGGAGTGTGGACAGATGGTTTTGGAGCTTGTGTAATAGTGCTCAGCCTTTTTTATACAGCATAAAGATTTTTCTCTGTATTATTATCATCCTGGCAACAGATGCAATTTGATCCCCACCCACAAAGAGGAGCTCTTCTCCATACTAGGTTTGTTCTTGCAATAATAAAGTGCCTTTACACAGAATCACAGAACATTCTGAGTTAGAAGGGACCCAAAAGAATCATCGAGTCCAGCTCTTAAATGAATGGCCCATATGGGATCAAACTAACATCCTTGGTGTTATTAGCACCCTGCTCTAACCCACTGAGCCAATCTCCTCAGATTCCTGCTCTCTAGTTGGTTCAATCCAGACTGTTAGTTTCCTGCTTGCCTCTAGCTATCACCTTTCTTATTCTAGCATTCCAGTGTTCTGGTCTAACTCATTCTTCTGGATGAGCAGCCCCAGTGCCTTCAGCACCAGCCAAGGATGATGAAGTTGGGTTAGAATCATTTTGAAACTGTACTGACATACTCACACATACAATTGCAATTCTCCTACCTCAAATACTAGCTTGCCTCTTCTGTTTCTGCTTCTCGCTCTCACCTGCTTGGAAAACATCAGATTTACTGTTCATAAAATAATCTATCCAATGTAATTATCCAGTATAATCTAGCAGGTCAAGGGAGCTGATCCTTCCACTCTACTTGTCCCTAGTGAGGCCACATCTGGAACTGTGTCCAGTTCTGGGGTCCTCAGTACAAGAAGGACAAGGAACTGCTGGAGAGGATCCAGTGGAAAGCATCTCTCTTACAAGGAGAGACTGTAAGACCTGGGCCTGTTTAGTCTAGGGAAGTGAAGACTGAGAGAGGATTAACATACAAATATCTCAAAGGCAGGTGTCAACCCTTTTCAGTGGTGCCCGGTGACAGGACAAGGAGTAATGGCCTTAAACTAAATCACGAGAAGTTCCACCTCAACATGAGGAAGAATGCCTTTACACTGATGGTGGCAGAGCACTGGAACAGGCTGCCCAGAGAGGTTATGGACTCTCCCCCTCTGGAGATATTCAAAACCCACCTGGACAAGTTTCTGTGTAACCTGCTCTAGGTGAACCTGCCTTGCCGGGGAGGTTGGACGAGATGATCTCCAGACATCCCTTCCAACCTTAACAATTCTCTGATTCTATTGATATTCAGTGACATTGCTCAGGACACACTATCCCAAGCACCTGCACTGTGAACTCTGTTTACTTCCCTTTGCAAGCCTATGCTAAGAGAATGTATTATTGAAGGCATCTTCCAAAGACATCATGCCTAGCACAGTCTCCAACACTTCAGGGACTAGAGAACTTCAAAAATACTTTTTGACAAACTACTGTAACTGTAGGGTTGCTCTTTCTAGTTTTTACTAAAGAAGGTGACACAGAAAGGGTAGCAGCATGGATAGAGATGTTTTACCAGGAACAGCAGTGATAGAACAAGGGTTAAAGGTTTAAAATAAAAGACAGTATATTCAGATTAGATACAAAGGAGAGATTCTTTAACATGAGGGTAGTGAGACACTGGAACAGGTTGTCCAGAGAAGCTGTGGATGCCCCATCCCTGAAAGTGTTCAAAGACAGGTTGGATGGGGTTTGAGTAACCCAGACTAGTGAAAGGTGTCCCTGGCCATGGCAGGAAGGTTGGACTAGATTACCTTTAAAGGTCCCTTCCAACCCAATCCATTCTAGAGACATCTGTCTACAACAGACTTCCAGGTTCAATTGTAAGGCAAGTCCACAGAGAACACCAACTCGCAAGTAAGTCATGATCAAAGATTTACTTTCCTTTTTAAGGCTGACTAGATACATGCACCCAAATTCCAGAAAAGCCAGACTGAACCAGCACTCCTACTTGATCCAGAGCTATTTAATCACATTTTAAATCCATGAAAGCACCTTTCTTCACCATCTGCCAGGTCTCCTTAGGATACGTGGCTCTACCCTATGAAGAGGTAGGAAAGGTTCATTTCATGTCTAATCCAAACAGCCTCTGGGGAGCAGTCTGCTCTTCTCTTGTCTGCTCCAAGTTTCAACACAGAAAGAGATGATGTTACCTATTACATCTAGTTTTGGAACAGCAGAAGCACAGCAGGGACTTGGCTCCCTTCTGTAGCAAGGAATCTAGCTGTGGGAAGATGACCAAACCATCAAAAATCAAAAAAGCAGAGACAGAGCATACAAAGCTCTGCTTTGATCTTCTCACTTCTGCCAAGTCATGTTTTGCCTTTGTATCTCTGTACTTCCACATACACAGCTATAGTCCCTTATAAAGAACACATCCCTCACCTTCAAAACTTCAGATCATAACACCTCTAGCTCCACACAGTGGAAAGAAAACATTCACAGGAAAGTTTCCTCCACTATCCTGTCAGGTTAAAGGTTTAGAAGGCTCTGCAGAACATTGGGAGGCAAATCAGCCCAGGCAGAGCAGAAGAGGTTGTGTGCTCTCTTCCCCTCAAT